GCTAGGATTACAGGCGTGAGCCACCACACCCGGCCGGTTTTCTTTTGTAGCTATTGTCTTCCCCGTGTTTATTTTCCCAAGTCAAATTTTGCACATCAAAATCTAAGTCTTATAAATCTAAATTAGTGTATTTTAACTGATGTCAGCTTTCTGTTAATTATTTCTAACAAAAAATTACAAGGTGGCTAGAAGATTAATAGTTTGTATTTCTTGGCTTTCCCGCAAGGAAACTGTGAGCAGTTTCCCTCGGATATTCTTTGGTTGCTTTGTGTCCAAAGTTGGGCTGTGACTTCTACTCACATTTCATTCCGATAACTGCACACGTTGTACTGTCCACGCGGTTGGAAAATGAAAGAGCAAAACATTGTCAAAATATGTCCTGCTTTACTCGGTGATGATGAGTAGCTAACAAGCACATATTTTAAAAAGGGGGCTTTGGAAGGCACCAGAGTTCTTGAACTAGACCCTGACAGTGGACAAGGATGTGCCCGGCAGGCACAGCCAGGCGTGGGTAGCCTGCCACCCTCCTCGCAGTGAGCAGGGCCAGCCTGGCTCGCACAGGGCCGGAGCAGACATCCACTTACTGCCATGTGCCACACAGCCCCCAGTGCCCGGGCCACACCGGGCGCCGAGGACCCAAAACTGGAACGGGCAATGCTGGAGGCCGGCCAGGAAGCTGCTCTGGCAGCCAGGATGGATTCTCCAGCATCTGGGCAGAGGCAACGGGGACTGGAGTGGCAACACAGTGTGGGATCAAGTCCCACGCAGAATCATAGAAGGCAGTTGCTGTAGGATTTGGAGAGGGTGGCTAGGGAGCTGGAGGAGTTGGAGGGATGGTCAGGTTTGGGCTGGGAAAACCAGGGGTAGAGCCAGTTTAGAGTGAGATAGTGAGTTCAGTTCTAGACAGGTTGAATCAGGGGTGCCGGGGCAGAGGTCTCCGGAAGACTAATTGGAGCCGAAGGCTGGCTCTCAGCAGGTTGCTCTGTGCTAGCTTCTTCAGGTGTTTCTACCCATATTCTCAGCCCCACAGCAACCTGGGGGATACAAAAAAGCAGTAGGCCCTGGGTTCTGAGTTCTGAGCACACTTAGTCATCACAACCACCTTATGAGTTCTTTTCACTCCCATTTTTGAGATGAGGAACGCTGGGCACAAATGGGAGGTAATTTGCCGTAGGTCACACAGCTCTTGGGTGGGTTGGGGAAGCCGAGGCTCGGAGGCAAGGGGGACTGGACGCAGGGCAGATCCAGTAGCGAGGGGGGAGCCCATACTCTTCAGCTGCTGCACTGGTGTTTCTGAAATGCAGTTCGCCGAGGCATAACTCACACTGCCCCCAACGTTGTATTATGGAAATTTCCACACATATAGAAAAGTTGAAGAAAATAATAAACACCTGTATACCATCTACTTTGATACAACCATTGTTAACATTTTGTTGTATTTGTTTTATCTAGGCTAGTATTATATTTAAATTATACATGTATTATTGGGCTTTTGCTGAATCATTTGAAAGTAATTTGTAGACATCGTGATATTTCACCTTAAATACTTCAGCAGACATCACCTAAGAATGAAGACATTCTTCCCTATAACCACAATTACCAATATTACATCTAAGAAAATTGATAATTCTACAATATCACCTAAATATCTAGTTCATATTCAAATGTCCCCAGCTGCTTCAATGTGTAGGTGCTTTTTTTTTCAAGCCAAAATTCAGTCCAAGTTCACTCATCACATTTGGATTTTATTTCTCTTTAGTCTTTTAATCCAAAACAGTCCTCCTACCTTTTGACATTTCTGAAACGTAACAGCTTGGAAAATATCACAGTACACTGCACATGGTGAGTCTAATTTTATTAAACTTTTGTTTCAGTTATTATTTAGTTAAGATACCAGTTCAACTGCCTTCATAAAAGCTAAAGTCGCAGTGACTTAAATACAGTAGAAGTTTATTTCTCCCTCTCTCATAATAATCTAAGCATATGTGGTAGCAGTCCAGAGTTGATATGACAGCTCCGGCATGTGGGGACCTGTGATCTTTCATTTTATTTTATTTTATTTATTTATTTATTTTGTAGAGACAGGGTCTTG